CTGTCTTTTAGTTATGAAAGAAACAAGATCGGCAAAAAAAAATCGAGATCGGCAGGGAAGGTTGCCTAAGGATCGGTGATCGTTGATCGGCCAGAAAACTGCAATCGGTGCACCCCTACTCATAATACTGATATCGTCATATAACATTCTGCTTTCCTCTGCAACTACATTAGGTGCTCTATCACAAACACTGACAATTAGGCCATTTGAGTTTTCAGCCTCTGGTTTTACCCATACAGCTTCTGTACTTTTAATTTTATCAGTGAGCTCCCTTGCCTGCAAGTTCTCTTTTATGTACAGTGGTCTCTCGTTAAACGCGGGAATTAAGTTCTAAAAATAACCCGCAATAGGCGAAATCCATGAAGTAGTGAGCTTTATTTTTTATAATTATTATAGATGTTTTAAGGCTGTAAAACCCCTCACTACACACTTTATACACTTTTCTCAGACAGGCATTAACATTTTCACACTTTTCTCTCGTTTAAACACTCTCAAAGTTCAAACCTTCATAGAAAAATAAGTCCAGTATTATAGAATGAAACCAAAGATCAAAACCTGTTTTCAGGCCCAAACATTTGTTTGAGAAATAGAAATATAAACGTTTTCCTATAAATAATAATGATGGATTTTAGAACTAACGAATTTAATTTTAACGATCAACCTACGAGGTTGGACACAAATTAATAGTGACTCACAAGTATTTCACAGTTCCTCTGACCGCGCCTCTTCGTTCTGGCGCCGCAGGACGCATGCAAAATTGCACTAAAAAAAATCCGCGAAAAGTGAACCGCGTTATAGCAAGGGACCACTGTATACTGCAACACCACCGCCCTTCTTGCCTATCCGGTCACTACAGAACAACAAGCAATCATTCATATTATACTCTTCTCCATCATTGACACTCATCCATGTTTGTTATTCCTATAATGTCATAAGAGTCTGAATAATAATAATAAAAGCCTCTAGATCATGAATTTTCTAACAATACTTTCTAATACTTATAATAATACTTTTCTAAAACTCACTAAGCTTATCTGCGCCTTCTATAAATTTTTCCTACAGATCAGCCCTCCTGGCCGTGCCTATGTCGTTGGTGCCAATATGCACCACAGCCACTGGATCCACCCCGGCTGGGGCCAAAAGCCTGTGCACACAATCCGGAAGGTCCCCTACCTGGGCATCAGGTAGGCAAGACACTGTACGGGAACCTCTATCATGGGTTGTCTGTCTGTCTGTCATGTGATGTGATTGTACAAATCAATATAACAAGAAATAGAAGTAATGTTATTACATACTACTGAAAACCAAATAAGTCTGACATGGATTTGTCACATATGGCCAATAGGTACAGACCAGTGGCAATACCGATCTGATATGCACTTCTGAGGACAGCGAAGGCAAACCTGCCCCGGTGCATCAGAGATGCAAAGTGCACGTTTGGGTGCAGGATCCACAGGCACTTCAGTGACACAAAGCGCATGTGGCAGGGCATGAAGACTATCACTGATTACAAGACCCCAAAGCAGCCCTGTGACAGTGATGACTCTATCCCTGATGTGCTGAATAACTTTTCCGTAGTTTGCTGCAATAAAGGACACATTTGTGAAGACCATCCTCCAACCTGATGCCATGTCTCTCCACTGCAGATGTCAGACAACATACCAGTCTGTGTACTCAGGGAGTATGGAAACCAGCTGGCAGATGTCCTTGCGGACATCTTCAACATCTCCCTGAGCCAAGCAGTCCTTCCTAGGTGATTTAAGGCTACCATCATCATTCCAGTGCCTAAGAAGACTACAGTCTTGTGTCTCAACAACTACTGCCAAATAAAGTTTGACCAAATAAAGTCATGACACCTGTCATGAAGTGCTTTGAGAGGCTAGACATGAGGTACACGAAAACCAGACTGTCTGCCCCACCAGAACCACTTCAGGTTGCCTACCGCCCAAACTGCTCCATGGAGGATGCCATATTATCCACCTTACACGTGGCTCTCACCCACCCAGAGAAAAAGGATGCATATGTGAGAATTAGGGCTGCACGATTTGGGGAAAATATCGAATCGCGATTTTTCTGACAAATTGCGATAATGATTTGATTTGCGATTAAATTTTTTTAATGTCAAGCTTCAGTTCAGCATTCAGTGTGTAGTAATTTTAAAACATATGACGCAGCATGAGATACCATCAGTATTAACTGGTCTATATTCTAATGCAAGGATGAGAATTTAAAGATGTGATGTGTCAAGTTAAATAAAGTAATAATGAAAACAATTGCAGCAAAAAGAAAAATAGCGATCTTGCAGGTAACGCTTATTACCCTCCTAATAACACTATAACCGCCTTTTCCCACGCCAATGAACAAGCAAGAACTACTTCGGTGTATGCAGCCCTTTTGTTTGCGCTATTGTGTTGTTAGCTGCTGTTATTAACACTAATAACACTCAAAAAACCATAAGTTTGCAAACCCTACAGACTATTTACAAGGTAATAAAACTTACATACGTGTAAATGTGTGTGCAGAACAGAGAACAGAAAATCTAACTCCATGCAGCTGACCCAAGTTTCCAACCCGGCATTTTATTTTAAATGAGAAGTAAAATGCAGTTTTCGACTGAAGCAGCTTATCATTACTTTGCATTGTTACTCGGACAAATACAAAACAAATGATTAAACATTATATGCGTCGCTTTTTGTATGTTTTCTAAATAAGACCGCGTGCCCATACCCAACTGTAATAGCGATTAAAGCGATCTATTCTTTTAGTATTTATGTTAAAGCAAGACTTTTATTTTATTACTGTTGTTGGATTAATCTTTCGAAACACTTTAATAAGCACAAAAACATATGACATAAACACCACTGTATTATGGGTTTTATGGCTTTTTTGGGGGGTCACCGACTCCACTGCTGAAAGAATTACTGACTGTCTCATTGTTGTTTTGATGGGTTAGCGGTATACTAATGCTATTGCCTATTAACAAAAACCAAAAGTATGATAAGTATATTGCAGCTGGTGTTTAAAAGGAGCTCGCCGATTCTACTGATGATAGGACCTTTCTGAAACAATCTCGGACC